CAGCCAAAAGACGCCGGAGGCGATGTTTCTGATAACTCACAGAAGGACAACGAAGCGAATATCGATGATTCTAAAATCACTAATGAAACCGACAGTGGTGGTTCAAATAACTTCCAGCAGAAGGATAGAGATCGACCGCCCCTTAATATTGTTATCTTCTTTCCTGACGACATGAACCACAGGTCGTTACAGGATGTCAGTGGAACTGGTTATGTGAAAACCCCTTTTTTGACAGAACTTGCAAGAGACGGAATTCGCTTTGCCAAAAATGCTGTCACCACAAGCATCTGTTGGATGTCCCGGGCGACCCTTTTTACGGGCCAGTATACTAGTTCACACGGATCGATGCAACTCAAATGCCCCCGCTTCACGCTGCCTCAGTATTGGAATGATACTTGGGTGGCTACACTGCAGCGCCTGGGTGGCTATTATGTTGGCCATGTCGGTAAATGGCAATACATGAAAAATGCAAAGCTCCCCCATTACTTTAATTTCAGTAATTTTTTCGAAGGCTCACACTGGTATAGCCACCAAAGACAGCCAATGTCTGCTTCGGATAAGTCGGTAATGCATGCCATTGAATTTCTCCAAGAGCGGCCGAAAGACACGCCATTTGCCTTAACGGTGGCATACTACCCGCCCAAGGCTGTCGGAGCTTCCAAGGAACCCGGCGGTCAGTGGTTTCCCAAAGAGTCTTCCAAAGCCCTTTACGCAAATACAACTTACGAACCACCATACGATGTAGAGAAAGCACACGCCGATTTACCAGACTTTCTAAAGAAAAAAATTATGCGCAATCGCTACCTCGAACGATGGGACACGACCGAAAAGTACAATACTGGGATGCGGAACTATCACGCCCTCGTCACAGAGGTTGACCTTGCAAGCTCGCAGATTGTTGAGGAATTGAAGCGCCAGGGCCTCTACGAGAATACCATGATTATCTTTACGTCGGACAATGGCCTAATGATGGGATCCCACGGTCTCGGCGGTAAGTGGATTGCTTATGAGGAATCGATTCGCGTTCCACTCATCATTTACGATCCCCGCATGCCTTCAGAAAAACGTGGGAGTGTGGACAATTCAATGACCCTAAATATTGATCTGGCATCTACCATCTTAGGGGCAGCCAATATTGCCCCGCCGGAAGCAATGCAGGGGCGGGATATCGCTGATTTATATTTATCTTCAAACGACGGCACTTCCAAGTTGAAGGAAAAGCCCTGGCGAACCGAATATCTGTACGAATATCCAATTTGGTCGTTGAGTCAAAACTCCTTAATAGGAGAGCGCTACAAGTACATTCACTGGATGGGTTTCCAGTCTGAGCAGCTCTTCGACATCCAAGAGGATCCCTTTGAGCTAAATGATCTGATAAAGCAAGTTAGTAAAGACGAGGCCGAGGTCGACAGTAATCACATTGCCCAGATGGAAAAGCTGGCGGTGGGTCTTTTTGAGACATTGCATGGCGTCAAGGTTACTATATCTGAACTACATGATCTATTGAAGGAGAAAGGGATAGCTGTTGGTCAAAACAAAAGCGAGAGCGAGGAAGCGACCCTCAAAGAATTGATCGAGGCCTTGATATCTGAGTTGAAGATACGCTACGAGAACGTTCGTAACGAGGTTCAAGGGCCCGGCGGAAAGCCCGACTGGTGCGATCCTTCTCTTGAGTATCCGTAGTGTGATGAAACAGATCCGGGTAGAGCATACGCAAAAGTCCATTTAGCGATACTGGAAAATATGCTGTCGATAAGTTTGTGTTCTTATGCCAGTTATTTGTGCCTGTTATCGGCAAGCATTTCATATGTTGCTTGTTGATGTTTTGTGATCAGAAACAACCCAGCGCGCTAGAATTACGTTGCCTACCATTGATTTCTTTCCGTAAACGAGATGTGAAGGCTCATCCATATCCGAATGCGGATTTTGAAGGTGCCGGATTATTGAAAGAGAAATCTGGAATAAGAACAATATGTAAAACTTCAAAAGAGCAACGAATCTAGTGGGAAACGAAGACTGCGATTTGGATCGGGTATTAAACTCCAACTTTCAACCAGTAATCACAACAACGGGACGATTGCTAACCATCGCACTATCCGAGTAGAATAATAGTGCAAACTGCTTACTCTCTCTTGCTCATCACTAGCAGCACGGAGGAAATTAGCTATTTACACAATGCATAAATAACTTATACTACTAGTGTTTCGAACAAATTGAAGATCGATTCCACTGTGTCTACGGTTGCCCAGGAGTAGTGTCCTGTTGGAAGTCAGCGTGTGTTCCCTCGTACTTTGAGATCAAATACCTACCGGCCGTGGTGGGTTGATATTTGGGCGGATTCGATGCATCAGTGCACGTTTCCAGGCATTCTACCACGGTCTCATATACAGGATCAAAAAAGAAGGGAATCGAATAGCGGTCTTCGTCGCAGGGAGCTTTTGTCAAGACTCGATGGAGAGTGGACTTGTAAATGCCATTCGTCCATACTTCCAGCAGGTCTTCGCAATTTGAAAGTTACAGGAAAAAAATGAGGGATACAATGCATGTTTTTGAATCATTCCAATTGCGACGGGTCTTGTGTCTACTTTAGGTTTATGCTGCTAGTAACAGTAGAATAAACGGAGACACACAGATGTGTTGTCCTGCTTAGTTTTGCGTCGGTCTAGCTTCTTTCACTTACCTCCTAGGTTCACCACAAAGGAATGCGGCCGCGGAGGAACGTCGATCCATTCCTCCTGATAGTAGATTTGGAGGCCCGGATTCTTGTCCGTCAGGAGGAGGGTCGCCATCCCGTAGTCGGAATGAGCACCGCAGGCGTAAATTCCTTTATCAGGATCCGATGGACGCCCAGAATAGTGAAGGAGCCGCAGTGTGGCAACGCTTTGTGCATTTTTCCAAGGATGGACCGAAATGAATAACGAAAAGAACAAGCATCATTAGTGAGAATTAGGAATAGAACGTTTTCGTATCTTTGCCGTCGATCCTATCACTCTCGCGGAACAATTGCCAGCTAGCTCTATGACCTTCTGTGTTATTACGCAAGTCATCATGCGATTTAGCAATCCATACCATTCTTCAAAGTCGGCGTCAAAATGTGTTTCCTCCAAGCCCAGACTCAGAGCAAAGAGTCGGACGACGCGCATGGCAACGGCCGTCGCTCGGGAATGATAGTCCTCCATTATCGGTTGGAAGCTCGGCAGTAGGGACGACTCCGGCCATTGATTTGGCCCCCGCAACTTGGCCGGGTCGTAGCGAGGATCTCCCACGGGTACATCCCTGCCAATGTAGTATCCCTCTTTGGTGTCGCCCTCTGTTTGGTTCGCGAGATCGAGCGTCTCCTCTTGCATGGCGGTATAGCCCCGACTCATGGTATGATCGGAGAGCTTTGTCTTTTCTTCCAGAGGCAAATCAAAGAGGGCTTTACTGGCTGCAAATACGGAGTCGATATAATCCGGAGAGAGGCCGTGTCCCTCGAGATAAAAGAACCCCACGTTGCGGCCAATGGCCGCGAGTTTTTGGGCAGCATCAGGATCTCCCAAGTCAAGCGTAGGGATACTGATGTTGTTGCCGATGCTGCTGCTTTGGTCATCTTTGTCATTCATTGTGGCCTCGGTCTTCTTGTTCATTTTCGTCATTTTTGTTGTCAGTTTTGCCAATCTATTCTCAACAAAGCCGTGCGTGGAAAGGGGACATCGACCCGTTTAGGCACATCATCTTCATCGGCAGAACAAATTTTCGAAGTGGGAACAGGAATAGAACTTGCGTTTTCTCCCATACAGCGCTCTCCACCGGTATCTTCGCGTTTCGCCTGAGGTAGTCAAACAGGTAGCAAAAGGTACGGTACAGTACGTACGTACCATACGTACAGTAGCATACAACATACAATAACTTCAATTTCGACTTCACGGTTGGAAGAAGTGTGTTGTGTGTTCTGTGTGGGTTTCAAAAACATGACCATGTACTGTACAGTACTCGTAGTACGTACCTGTCATCAGGACGAAATACGTTACCATAGTACGAGCTCCGTTCTTCAAAATGACAAGAACGCGACCTCTTATGATTGTTCCGGTAGTAACGGCACCTCACGATCTGCCTTGCCTTTGGAAAATCGATCTCAAAACTTCGAAAAAAAATTTCACTTCACAAATCCGAGCACATCTCCCGAAATCAGTTCATCTCAGGTACGAGTACGAGTACGAGTATGCCAAATTCCGATCGTTTATTTCGCAAATCATGATGTTATTGTTCACATTCATCAAGCCATGAATAAAGCAACTACGGCCGTGTCATCCTTTTTATTGAAACCTTGTCGACGTGTTCTGTCGGTAACTGAACTTCATTCAATTTATCCAATTGCCACTGGTTCCTTCCAGAGTAAAAAACGCAACAACACCGCGGCCATTTCGTACCGATCCTTTTCAAACACAACAGTTAGTTACAAGATGTCTTCTTCAAACCCCTATGCCAAATACGCTTCCTTAGCCGAAAAGGCCTGCGAATTTCTTACGGCTTCCCCGGATCCTTTCTACGTCGTTCATAATTGCGTCGCCAAGCTCGAAGCCAATGGCTACACCAAGCTAAACGGGTCTCGCCCCTTCACCGGACAGTTAGTCCCAGGTGGCAAATACTATTACGTCGTCGACCTAACAACCCTAGTGGCCTTTTGTGTGGGTCCGAAACTGGACGTCGAAAAAGAACCCTTTGGCTTCCACATTGTCGCCGGACACACGGGTACGTCCAACAAACAAAATGGATTTTCCGAAATGGATAGTTTCCGATCATCTCTAACCGCCTGTTTTTTAATCCGACCCGTGTCGTTCAATCTCTACTGCATTCCGAATCGACCTACTAACTACTAGATTCTCCCAATCTACGAATCAAACCCAGATCCAAACGGTCGGCATCGGGATGTACCCAGCTGGCAGTCGAGACCTACGGGGGTGGTCTCTGGCACACCTGGTTCGACCGCGATTTGTCGGTCTGTGGCCGCGTCCTCCTCCAGGAACCACAGGCGGTTTCCGAAAGTGGCCGGAGCATTGTAAACACAAAACAACGATTGGTCAACCTCGAGGATCCCATTGCCCGAATTAGCACCCTCGCGATCCATCTGCAATCGGCCGAGGAGCGCAAAGGTTTTTCAGTCAACAAGGAGAACCATACGGCTCCGATCATTGCCACTAAGAACACCGGAGAGGAAAAAATAGGATCTCAATCAAACAAACAAGCCGGAAAAGTTCTGGAACAAGAGGCAAGCGATCAAATCAATGCATTGTCTAAGTGGCAGGAATCCCAGGAGCCTCTCTTGCTCAAGGCCATTGCCGATAAGCTCGAAACAACTGTGGAGTCGATTGTCGACTTCGACCTCAGTCTCTATGACACCCAGGGTGCAGCTTTGGGGGGCATCAGCAAAGAATTTCTGTATTCGGCCCGCTTAGACAATCTGGCAACGGTCTTTGCTGGCCTAGAAGGACTAGTATCCTTTACAAGCCCAAGCACCGACGAAGGAATCGAGGCTCTCAACAATTCATCTGATGTTTCGGTGGCCGTCTTTTTTGACCACGAGGAGGTTGGTTCGACCTCAGCTCAGGGTGCAGGCTCTCCTGTTATGCAGGGTGCTATCCAAAGGATTTCGGCTGCTCTCTACGGGGGTGCCTCCCCAAGTCCAGACGTACACCAGGCGTGCATCAACAAATCCTTCGTCTTGAGCATCGACCAGGCCCATGCGATCCACCCCAATTATTCTGCCAAACACGAATCCAATCACGCGCCGACACTCAATGGTGGTTTGGTCATTAAAACCAATTCCAATCAGCGGTGCGTGATGAAAGGAAATGATCGCGATAGTTTTGTAAGAAATATTGCAGTTTCATGACCGGTTTCTTACCAGCTTTTCTTGTAATTGTTTTTTTTAATGGTTATCCCGCGTACAGATACGCTACCAGTGGCATTAGCGGCTTTGTGGTGAGGGAGCTAGGACGTATTGCGGACATTCCAATCGATGAATTTGTCGTAAGAAACGACTGCGGATGTGGGAGCACTATTGGTCCCACCATCAGTGCCAGGACAGGAATTCGTGTAGTCGACGCAGGCATGCCACAACTCTCGATGCATTCCTGCCGAGAAGTGATGGGCATCGCTGATTTGTCTCATGGTATCGATTTGTTCCGGGTATTTTACCAGAAATTCCGCCAACTCGACGGGAGTATATGTCGCGAAGTAACCAAGTAGAAAGACCAAAATAACAATAGTAGACAGAATTCTGCTGTCATGGCTGATTGGATAGACCTCGTCTCAACAGGGAGCAAGAAACATGCCTTTGGATCAAATCACAATTCGAAACAACGAATAGAGTAAAAGAAATTGGTTTTTCTCAAGGAAATGCCTATACATTTTTCAAAAAATTGTTTAGCGTTACGACGCGTACTCGTTATTATAATAAAATCTTAATATTGTATTTTAACCTCGTGAACTAGAAGAGGCACTACATGGCCAGAACCATAGCTTTTGGTGGAAAGCATGCTTCTAGTCGCTCCGAGGGGCGGCACCTCCCTCCGCTTACTCGTTATTATAATAAAATGCATCTAAAGTTTCGTGGTGCCATGTTGTCATGGAACTACTGTTTCAGACTCATTGATGTATCACAGGCATCATCAATTGGATACTCTTCCAGGAATTTGTAATATTCATGACAATTTGCAATACAAAAAGGAAAAAATATTGCAGTACTCTTGAGTAGTACCATCATCATAATAACGTCATCACTGCAGCATCTGAGATTATTTCAATTTTCGATGCTCTTATATACATCACATCCATGTTTTCCAATTCTCAGTCCCTGGTGACTAGAAAGGAGTTTCGATTTTATTAGGGTCATTCCATGGCCAGTAGCTCATCTACATCAACCCATGGAGTTACTTCACCCAGGGAAGGGTTCCAGTGACACTGTTCTCGTTGTTGGAGATGATCGACCTCGGTTACAAAGTTCTCCCAGTCGCATAGCGGGTCGGGAAGCAAATCAGCCGTGGTCCCAAACAGGAGAGCACAAAAATCTCTGATCTCGTCGATTGAAAGAGCTCTTTGATCGAGAACATCGAGCAGACCATTACTTCCCTGGAGTCCCAACTCGCGCATCTGATGCAAAACCAAGGCATAGTTTAGCCAAGGATTGTGCCTGTAAACCTCGGCGGCCTCGCCCTCGTGGTCGTCGAGAACATCCAAAAAGGATCCCGAAGGATCGTCATGTCGCTCGTCTAGGGCGTTGTAAAAGTCCAAGACATTCCCAAAATCAGTGCACAATCTAATTACGACGTTTACTGGCAATCCTTTTAATGATTCAAGGACCGTCTCCATGTCCTCCGAGCACCCATCCGTACAAATGACCAATGTGACGCGCATACCGTCGGCCAGTAGTTGCGGGCGCATCTTGATTATATCTCGCTTAACGTCCAACACAGCCTCGTGAAGTGGAGTTTGGCCCTTTGGCTGATTCCGGTTCATAATCTTGTGGGCTCGCCACGAATCGCGCTTGCGGCCAACATTACGATTTTTCCCTCCACCACCAAAGATTCGGATTTTATTTTCATTGTTGTTGCTTTGTCTGTGAATGTGTTGATTCTCGTAGCCAACTCGGAAATTTCGAGGACCTCCATTCGAAGGCTTGTTCAGGAAGCGAAACTCTGTCGGAGCTCCTAGGACAGAGTTTAATGTGGCGTGATAATTGACGGTTTGCCGCAATTCGGTCCAGCGCGAGATATCGCCATCGGCGAAATCATTACTTACGACGCCGATCCTTGGTACAAGAATCTTATCATCTTCTTTGTTGACATCCTTGTATTCGTCTCTGCCATCTCTATCACGTGACTCTAAATTCTCGTGTCCATCCATCATCTTCATCGATCCGCTATTGTCTACGATCCAGATTCGTTTGCTAGATACCTCCTGGATGTTGTCCAGCAAAGCATGGCGCAAACCGCGAGGAAGTCCCTGGTCTTTCAGCCAACCATTTATTGGATTGTGACTGTGCTTGCTCTGATCATACCGACGCTGCTCTGGTTCTTTTGGGCTGCTTTCCGAATCAAGGATTACCGACGATACCAAACAATCACTGCTACCATCGTTACAAGTCTTTGGCGATATTTCTGATTCCTTGCTCAGGATAAGCGAAGACGAATAGAGCAAAGATGAGGAATGGTGTATTTGCTTCGTCGATTGTAGAAATGCTGATGATGCCGGAATCGCATCCATACAAAGTAGCGATACAAATGGTGGAACCAAGGCAATGGCCACACGCCTTCGTCTCTGAAAGGCCAAAGAGCTGTTTTTCATAGTGCGGGTTGGAATCTGTTTTGAGTTCTTTGGTCCTTGATTTATATGATACACTCAACTCGAATACTGTGCGTTCCTCTAGTTGAACTCCCTCTCACAGCTTCTTTCGGAAGAACCTTGCGATGGAATTTCACTTGCAGTTGCTTCCGATCCTCAAATACTTCAACGCAGAAGCGCTTTTCAAAATTGGATTCTTTTTCTTCTGCTTCTATCAGACTCGGAAGCACGAGATCTGATAGCACTTCACTGACTGAAATCTCAAATCCTCATTGGTTGATGCAGTGAATTTGAGTATCTTTCGTGTCACCCATTTCTGCGTCATCGCTTAATGCTTCAATCTACCATTGCATTGGCGCAGGTTTCAAAAGTGGTCTGAACGTCCTCTATTCATATGATTAATATATACTTTTATTGAATACGAACTTGAATTGATACGTGCTGTGTGCCAGGGCTAGGGGTCATAATTTTGATGTTGGGGTTTGTGCGTTGGTTCTGCGTGGGTGTTGGTGTTGGTGTTGGTGTTGGTGTTGGTGTTGTGAGCCTAAATCACGAGTAGATAGTGAATAAGCTCACTCTTTATTGTAAACACGTAGATACGGCACTAAAGAGCACACGTACATTTTGCAGGTTATGAGCAACAACAGACTTACCTCAGCTCATCATCAACCCCCGTGTTGGTGTTGGTGTTGGTCCTGGACCTACAGTATTATACCGTACAAACGGTACTACATATCAGGGGTTCTACCGTACATGCAACATACCAGGGGTCTAAATTATGACCCCTGCCCTGCAACATACATCATAGTTTTCCTAAGGTACTGGTACGTATATACTATACGTACGGTAATATAAACTCACTTTCGAGTTTCGACTGACAACCACTAACCACTACTCGTACCGTACCGTATCAACTACGTAGGGCTAGCGACTAGAACCTTAAAAAAAAAGCTCTTCCTGTGCGCCTCAGATTTTCAATTTTTTCACTCCTCGTACCGTACCTACGGTAACATAAAACTCCAGAATACGGCAGTAACCCACGGGAAGACCGATCAGCAACAAATCAAGGAACTGTTGGTGGCGCTCATACGGTACTACTCTTCGAACGTTCTGATGACAACCGATACGAAAAAAGAGTGATCGACACCAGAACAAAACAAGCACTACAGCGGCCGAACCGCATCGGTGGATACATCAAGCAACGGACATTTTGGAACAGTTCTTGAGCAACGAAGCAAAACGATAGACTCTTTGACTCAAACTTCTTCTCGAACAAACTTCGTAGACATCAAGTACAACCAAACATAGAATAATGATTGGTCCGTCGGCTTCGTCTTCTTCTTTGATACTGCGGTTAGCATCCGGCATAATTCGAGAACGTTTTCCCGTGGCAGCAACAGCTACTTCAATATTTTCCCTACCAAATTTTCACGGAATTCTCCGCAACTACTACGAACGTCAAAATGAATACCGTCAGCAGCTCTTTCCCTTACTGTCGCCTTGTGGTGCCACAGCGGTTATGCCGCTCCCAGAGACGCAAGAGCAAAATCATATTTGGTTCGCGGTTCCGAAAAGCAAAATTTCTAGATCCCGAAAACGAATGAAAAACACTCGCCAAAAACGTATCCCCCTGAAGAAGAATATTGTCTTTGATCCACGCACGGGAGAGGTCACCCTCAAGCATAAATTGCCGTATAATTGGAAAGACTATCTCCCCAAGGTAGATTAGATAATTGATGATTCATTTTGTGTCATTCATTAAAGATTGAGTTTCGAATGGGAGAAAAGGAGGAAAATATATTAATAAATGAATCAATCGATCGATCCACATATTCTGTTCTCGGCGATGAGATCCCTTCCATGATTCTTTCTACGCGATCCTTTCGCTCGAAATGCAAGGAAGAAAATATCGGGAATAGCATCCTCTCAACAGCAGCAAGCAGTTCTTGACTTTCTTAATACAGCTAGCTTGCATCCAATTTACATAGGGAGTCATAAATCAATTAACGAACAAAACATTGATAGGAATCATCATTAGAACTACTACTATACTACTAGTAACAGCACGAAGAAGAGGATCTGGAAGTCTCACTATATAAGCAACATCTGTATCTGCTCTGCAGTAGTAGCTTCCTGCATACAAATTACTACTAGCAAATATTTCAATAAATACTTCAACAAGCTTTTCTAAATCTTGAGACAGGTTTACTAAGTTGGTGTGAAGGTAAATGAGGTGTTTTGTTGTTGTTCTCTCCCCCGTACTAGAGCCCTGTAAGACTTGTAACCAACCCAAACCTGTCTCCCCCTCATTGGGTGATTCCCGCATACATATTTTCCTATCGTATAGGCTTGGCCAGCAAATCCCCGATAATATCGGGGATTTTTGGCCATCTTTTTCCCGTGTAAAATATGTCGAGCGCGCCGACTGACATCCTGAAATCTTGTCGGAACACACCATTTTTTCTTTAGAA